AACCTTCTGCATCTCTATTGCTTTAACCACCTCATTTCTTTGTCCTCACTTTTCTTTCCAGCTCTCCAGCAGCCACAATGCCTCAGGACATGCCAGCTTGAGGTTTTCTGATTGCTCATCCAAAGCAGCTTTCAGCTTTAAGTCAAATTAAGTCGCTATTAAAAGAAGACAAACACAGAGAACACCCCCTGCTTCTTTCCTGTCCAAGAACCCAGCAGTATGGAAATTGTAACAAAGAAGTGAAACAGTAAATCATGGTGGTTGTGGTGTAATGTGCTGGTGCTATGGACTGTTCCTGAAGGCAGTGGAAAATTTTGTTTTCTGAATGTTTATTATTAAAAAAATATCAGTGTTTCAGTATTAGCTTGATGTGTGGTCGATTTTAAAAGAATATAAAAGTATTCAATTTGCTGTGACTGATATACACAAAGAATTTAGTTCTGGGTTTTTTTTGCAGATGTGTTTGAAAATGTGAATTTAAAAGGTTCCTGAATACAGTCAGAATACAGCAGCTGTAAAAGAAGATTGCATCTGTAACTTTCATTTCATGCTTTTACTGAAAGGATTGATCCAATCACTCTCTCCATCCTTCTTTCCCTCCTTGATTCCCTTCCTCTTCTTTCTCTTTCCTTTGCCTTTCCCTCTTTTCCCCCTGTGTTCTCCTTTCCCTTTCTCTCTCCCTCTGCACCTCCTCCAAACCACTTCTGACTGCCCTTTATTCCTTTTGGTGAGAGAATATAACCAGGTATTGGCTCTATGAGCTGCTGTTCTTGGGCCATGTGCACTCCACAATGTGAAGCACAATTTCTGATGGCTTTTGTGTTTGTATAACAAGGTGGGTCTCCATAAGAAGGAGAACATCTAGAAAGAGGTGAAATTTAATGTTTCAGGCCAGTCAAAGGAAAAGTCCCAGTAGTAGTTAGGAGATTTCTCTTTGGTTCCAAATGCTTGCCTGTTTAAACAAAGAGGGAAAAGTGAAGCTAATTTTTCAAAATGCCTATGGTATGTAATGTATATGGTACAGAGCCAATCCTGAGGTTGGGCTGGAAGACAACTTTGCTGCTCTTGCTCCCTGTTCTCCTTCTGGGACAGCTCCACTGATCTGCTTTGTGCTTCCCTGGCAGCCTGGCCCATCCAGGTCCCCCTGTCCCTTCTGGGGACACAGCTGCTGTGCTGCTCTGACTAGAGAGTCAAAGCACAAAGAGTAGCAGCTACTGAGGTACAAGTTATTTGGGGGTCTTTCTAGGTATACACCTGTGTTTCCCACTGTAAGGGCATGTGGGTGTCTTGAGTTGTTTACTAGGCCCTAGTTGTTTACTAGGAAAATGATGATTTGCATGGAATCCAGGCTTCACTGTGTACATCTTACTTAGAGGACTTCAGGCATGACAAAATCTTCTGCCTCCTCTGTTTTTTGTGGTTGTGGCCAGGTCAACCATTTTTATTTTTGTGGCTTGCCTGTAACCAAAGCCTGTACTGGTGATCAATTTGTCTTTCTCACCACCAATCCAAGCACTTCCTGGCCTCTGCTAATGTTACTGTTATTTATTCATTCCCTTACAAAGTGTAAGAGAGACACCATTAATGTGTCTCTCTTACACTGTGTAAATAACAACTCTTTACCAAATTATATAAAAATATCTCTTTACCAAATAACATCTCTTTACCAAAAAGGTTTTTGTTAAAAAGAATCACAGAGTATTTAGTACCGTGTGAGGCAGACAATATTTTTTTCTTTTTTTTTTTCTGTTTAAGATGTACATTTGACTGCTCCTGCATTGATTTTTGTAAAACTTTATTTGTGAAAATGAAGATGGATTCTGTGCCTTGAAAACAACAGAAAAATCCAAGGGAGGTTTTTGTAATTTGCTGATTTAAAAACTGGCTAATTTTAAAGCTTATCACATGCAGCAGAGCACACTGACCTCTAAAACACTTGTATGGTCCAGCTTAGGTGGTAAAAATTCTTGATCTTCTAAACTGTAGCTTTTTAGGAGCTGTCTTCTCCAAAAGTGAAAATGGGCAATAAAAAGCAGGTTCTGTTGCTTAGCTGGTGACTGGGTGTGAATAGAAAGTGTTTGCAGATTTCTCTCCAAAAAAGCCTGAAAGGGGGTGCTGTGTATGTGTCAGATGCCTTTTAATTTAACTGCTGAGGAGTGTGAACTTGCAGAGAGGGTCAGGGATGCAGGGACAGAAGGGATGGAAAATGCAGACAGTGAAGGACACCTCAGGGCTTCCAATAGCAATATTAAGAGGTACTGGAAACCTTAAGAGAAGTTACTCTGGAAGAAGATGGATTTGAAAGGAAATTGTGATCTTGCTATAGCCTTTCTAAGAGCTAGAACTATAATTCCAAAATTATTAAAATTTCAGGAGGCAAGAAAAGCTGTAATTTTGCATACAGAGTATGAAACTGAGGGCAAAGAGAAAAGAGGCAAGCATAAGAACACTTTAAATTATAAGTGTAAAGTTTAATAGAACTCTAAGATATCTAGGCACAAATTATTTTTTGTGTGTTAAACCTGTTTTCTTTCTTATTTGCATTTAAATTGCACTGATTGAACCTGAGATGCTTTAAAATTGGTGTAGTTGAGCCTGGTTAAGTGTTGCTACCTGAATTTTAATGTCTTGTTTAGGCTTCAAAGAAACCCTCTTAACTGGGCAGAGCCAAGCATTTTTGGGTTTTATTAAATCCTTTTTTTTTTTTTTTGTCTCAAATGTGAATTTTTGTTCATGTTTGTTGTCAATATAGCTCAACTTTGTGCCTAGAGTTGCTTATTACTGGTTTGATTCTAATACTCTGCTTGGTATAAAGAAAAATGTAAAAGTTATCACTCCGCAGAAGTGTGTCAAACTCGGGAAGCAAAAAGGAAATCACAGGATTTTTAATGTTATTCTGCAAATTAGTAGTTTTGTACATGCAGTGGGAGAGGTGGCAGTTTCAGAGGAACTTGACTGAAGGGAAGAGATGTTTGAAGTTTGGTGGGAGTATGGGGTGGGAAGATAGGCAGGATATGTCTTGTGGACAAAAAAGAAAGATGGGAAGCAAATGAGTTTATTTAAACGTTGCTGAGGCTGATACACTAATAGAACATAAACTGAGTAGGAACATGGTATAAAGCTCTATCAAATATTTACGTTTTTGATGCTGGTGTTCAGGTAGTGTGTAGTGTTAAGATGACAGTGGTCACAGAAATAGGGTTGTGATGGATCTGAATTTAAAAGTACATGCATTGCTTAAGGGAAGGATAATTTAGGAAGAACCTTTGTTCTTCTTTTGGTATTTTTTTTCATCGAGTTGTTGTCTCAGTTTCCTGGGGTTTTTTTAATTTGCTAATGTTCTTCCTTTAAAATTGTTTTAATTATGAATAGTAGTCTACAAGCAAGTCACAACATGTACCTCTATCCTTCCTCTTTATGACATTTCTGCTATAGAGGCTCATAACTGTTGTGGATGTCAAAGCCTTCAGGCATGTTTCTGGCACTGATGGTGTGATTTTTATAACCCCTAGACTCCAGTTACTTCAGACTGATGGGGGTGCTTCTTATGCCAAAATCTGGCAAAATCTTATTAGGCAATTCTTTCATTTGTGTTTTTGTAGACTTTAAATGCTTTTTCTTTTTTTTGTTTAGATCAGCTGGACTGTTCTCAACTGTTTTCTCAATTTTTAGAGACTGTTGATGTGTTTCTTTGCTGACTGTAGATTTGAAACTCTGTTTGTGAAATTAGCTTGTTCAAACATCAGTGCACTATTTAATTACAAAACTTGATATAAAAATATTTAAATCTACTCTTCTAGAATCTTCTTTTAAATGTGATGTGAGAACAGACTTTATTAAGTATTTTTGTTTTAAAGATTGATAGACATCTAATTTGTTTTTAAAATTTGTCAGAGATATATCAGTAAGTCCAAAGTCAGTTTTTGGTAAAAGTCGCTGATTCGTTGTTTAATATGATTCCATATGATTGGAAAGATTGAATTATTAAGCAGTGCCTTGTAAAATAACTAAAAGCTGTTGTAAGGAAATCATACAATAGAATGATTTTGGTTGGAAGGCACTTAAAGCTCACCTACTTCCAACATCCCTGCCATGAGCAGGGACATCTTCAAATAAATCAGGTTGCTCAGAGTTGCATCCAACTTTTGACTTAGAATGCATCCAAGGATGCAGCATCTACCACCTCTCTGGGCAACCTGTTCCAGTGTTTCACTATCCTTATTTTAAAAAACTTCTTCCTTATATCCTCCCTCTTTTAATTTAAAACCATTACTCCTTGTCCTGTTGCAACAAGCCCTACTACAAAGTCTGTTCTCACCTTTCTTCCAAGCCCCTTTTAGAAGCTGAAAGGCTTCAATAAAGTCTCTGAAATCTCCTGTAGGCACATAAAAGCACGCCAGTGTAATCCTGACTGTTAATATATGGGGTAGAAAGAGCTTATCCTTTTACTCAGTACTAGAAGAATTATTCCCAGCTCATCTGACTTGACTGTTCAGCATGGTGCCTTCAAGGAGAACTTCACGTTGACTCTGGCATAGAGGGAGACTTTGTGAGGGAGGCTTAGTTCACCCATGTGATTCTCTGTCAGAGAGATTTTGCTGAAATAACTGCATTTCTTTCTGCATACAAAGCTGTAACTTTGTTTCATTGCAGCCAAACGATGGAGATGTGAACTGAAAAGCAAATTAATTACCCACTAACTGCTGAATGGTACCTTGCGCACAAACAGAAGGCATTTACCTCATACCATGGATGCATCATGTAATAAATCTGACAGTTATGGCTTTTTGTCTTATCTTTCCCTGCAGTGGTCATAAAAGTGTTTCTCACTTGTAACAGATGGTCAGAGCACAGCTTTGAAATTTATCTGGGGATGAAGCCCTGTTGATTCCATTAAAAGTGAAAAATTTTCATGCAGATGGAGACAAAGAGAGATTTATTGTTACAATTCTGATGGCGAGGTATTTCATGCTATGCTTTCCTTTCCTTTTTGTTTGCAGGTGATGTGCCTTCAGGATTTTTTTGGCGATGATGACATTTTTATTGCATGTGGACCAGAAAAGTTCCGTTACCAGGATGATTTCTTGCTGGATGAAAGTGGTAAGATGTGTTTTTTAAAATGTTTAGAGTGAGAGTAAAGGGCAGATTTCCATATCATGGTAATTAAACTAAAGTAGTATCACCTGGATTGATTTCAGAAATAGAACAAATATTTAATTCAAAATACTGGAAATAAGATAACTGAAAGCAACAATAAAGCTGTCTGCCTATTGCAGCATAAAACTTGATTTCAGCCTGAATTTCATATATATTGTATGAAAAGTCATGTTTGGTGGAATTCATTTTTTGGTAAGGCCTTTCATGTTTTGGCTTTGAATTTATTCTGTTTCTTTATCACAATTTCTCAAACTCCCACTATCTATCATTGAGATTTAGTTAATGATTCACAAATAATGTGATAAAGACAGATGTAATTCTGTATGGAAAATAAATGTAATCAGCAAATGCAGACAAAGTCATCTGAGAAAATTCAATGAGTTCTCTGTTTTCCAGAGGCTGACTAACACAATAATGAAATCAATGTATGTAATCCTCTAAGGAAACTACATGTTTTGTTTTCAGATACCTTCATTGTTACAAAGAATATTCCTGACTCGGGAATCACAGTTGTAAAAGAAGAAAAAACTAACTATAGGTTTTTTGCATTCAAACAAACAAACAAAGCTGCCAACAACATTGAATTTATTTTTGTGCAGAACAAGACACAGCAAAAGTTTATTGCTTCTACACTCTTTCTCCATCCATGGTATCTTTGTAATCTGTTGGTATGAAAATCTCTAATTTTTTTTAAAATATCAAAGGTCTGAAAGAACACTTGGCTGAAAAATCAGAAGATTTTGTTACAGCAGTAACCACTTCACAGTCATTATGTGTGTATCTGCTTAGTGTCAACATTTCATCATGGTTTTGATGTAATTATGCTCTCACAGTTTGAGATGGTGTAATTCTATTTTTCTGACTAACCTGTGGAGGTGGAGGGCCTCTTGGTTTATCCAGATCCAGAAAAATGCTCCATTAGCCTGTGTAGGAGCAGAAAGCAGCAACTTGTGCAGACCTGACTCTGTGAGTTGAAGGATGACTCTGAAAAAGGTGTCTTCTGGGCACAGGAATGACCTTTAGTGTCAGGCACAGACAGAAGCAAGAACACCTTCTGCATTCCTGTAGAGGACCTTATAATATGGAAATAAAAATAGAACACCAGATCTGCACTTTGCAGTAATGAAATTGCTGTAGTTGACTCCAAGGCAAAATGTACCAATGGTGAAAAAGTAGCTTTAGCCATTTTTAGAATGGGAATTAGAAAGATGAGGAGACATTTGACCAGCAGAGGAGTTTCCCAGGTGGCTTTGTGCTCAGAATGGATCTCCTTGCCTTTAAGGAGGGGACACCTGGATAGTTGACTGTGTAGCCTGGATTCACTTGTTTCTCTCATGTGAAGGGTGACACTGGTGGCTGCCCAGTGTCTCCTCACAGTGAACCCTATGGCAGTTTTTCCAGCAAAGACTCAAGAAATGCTGACAACAGATTTGTTTAAATCCCTTTTGGAAGTACGTAGCTGGTTTTTGGAGGTCTAATGCCAAAGTACAAATGTAGTCTGACTCTGTTTAGTCTTTGTCTGACATATCAACATTTCTTTGAGTAAGCAGTATCTTTGCCTGAAACTTTGGTGCTTAAATCCTTTTGTACTGATCTTAAAAAAAGATAAATCCTTAAAATCTGCTGAAAACGCAACCTTAGCTACTACTTGTAGTGTTTACTTTTCTATCCGGTAACGATTCAGTGAACACTCACTGTTTTTTTCCTGTAGGAATGAAGAAAGGAGCGAAAATCAGATTTCAGACTATGTCTCTAATTCCTTTGAGAAATGTACATCAAGTTTGCTCTCTCTTTTTCAGGAGGTTTGATATCAGAGAACTTGTTTAGGTTGCTTGCCAATAATAGCTGATGTACCAACTGATATGCATCTAGTCAGCCTTCTCTAAGCAGGAGCAAGAGTTGGAGAGAAAATTTTTTTTTTTTTTTAATGGAGCTTTTAACTTGTTTTGCTTGGCAAATGAAGTTTATGTGATCACAGTGTGTGTCTGTGCATTCCTCATAGTTAATCTAAGAACATTACAAGTATTAGGAAGTGCTATCCAGCTGTGCAGGGCTGGTAAGGCCTGTCTCTGCTTCCCTGAAAAGCATTTTGAAGCAACACTGCTGGCTCATCACTACATCCCTCCAGTATCCTCCAGGTTCAGCCAGATGATGAGAATAACAGTGAAGGAGAGAAGAAATTTATAATAATCAGGTTTCTGGGGTTTTGGGAATTACTTCTCAGGGAGGAAGAGGAATCCCATCGTTTTGTGGTCAGGGTTTAGAACTCCTGATACCAGAGGTGAGCAGGAGGCAAAGTTGGGGGTTGGGAAGACAGTCACCTGTACTGGGATTCATCGTAGCTAACACGAGGTAGCTGCATGTAGGTAGTTGTCTGGGTCTAAGCCATTCCCAGTAGATGTCTTTCCCAGTAAAAAAAAAACCCAAAAACTTAGACTTCCTGGCAAAGTAGATGGTAGATGGTTGGTTGACTCAGTTGAAAGTGGATGTTTTGAAAGGTTCATATGAATTATGCTCCAGAAATGTCTGGTTTGCTTCTCTAAAGGCATCTATATGCCTGATGTAGCTGTTCTTGTCCACGCTTTGTTTTTAAAGTTACTTAAAAAGCTCTTAGGATAAGGTTAATTCCACTCTCTCAGAAAGGAAAAGTCTAAAATCTCATCAGTTTGCATTATTTCTAGTCATCTTTGTTTCTCTTGCTCCCATGGCTTGCTCTTGCCTTTGGATTGCACATGCTAAAAGCCATAGAATCAGAAAATTAGAAAAACCAGTCTAGAAGTCAGTGAATCAATCTCCCCATCTAAGTGTGGGATTAGCATTCCACATTTAGTTTCTGGCATACTTGACTAACAAGCCCCTCTGAAACCTGTGACAAAGAATCTGTATGCTCCCAAGACATTCTGTGCCAGTGGTAAACTCTCTTACTGTTTTTCAGCTATCTTCCCCAGATTCCCTTGCTATAAATGAAATCCATTACTATGTTTCTTATCTCTTTGACCATGGGAAACAGATGATTTCTTTTTCTTTGAAAAAATTCGTAGGCTCATCAATTTTCTTTTCTTTAGGCTGAGCAATTAGGTCAGCTTTGCTTTGACTTCAGGCTCAAACCTGCCCTTGAATGATGGTCTGTTCTTTCTTTATATCATCTCCCTTCCCTGTTTTATGTCTTTCAGGAAGAGGCATTGCATATCCCCTTGGCAATCAGCTAAGAAAAGTCACTTAATTAGGGATCCATCAAAGAGGAAAAAAAAAAACCAAAACCAGTCCTCACTATACATTGCAGTTTCTTCCCTGCCTGGATGTACAGATGGTTTTCATGCTAAGCACACTGTTTATTGCATGAAATGCAGAAACAATAGGCACCATCACCGTCATTATTTCTAGCAATCATCTCCATGATCAACAGATATGATAGACACACACACTTTCGTCATGAGAACTGCTGATAAGACATGAGGATGTATGTGGGTGACAATAAAATTAAGAAGTAAAATACTCCTTGTTTGTCAAGTGTCAGTGGTGATGGTATTTTCATTAAAAAGTTTTTATGGGATATGTAAGCACAAGAGCATTACATGAATGAAGCACACATTACAGCAGCTTGTAAGAAGAAAAAAATTCCTCAGTGTAGAGTATGGCAGCGACTGCTTCAGGCATTGTTAGCTTGCAGTTTTGGAAAGTCTCCCAGAAATACCAGGTTTTCTTTAACTGGTGGTTGTTCAGTTTTCAAAGAAGAGGTCAGGGGATGCCTTTCAGTAGTCCTTAGCTGTGTGTTGGCAAAGATTAAGGTTTAAGGGCCACTCTCACAAAAATATTTGCAATCAGCTATTATTTAGGCACCTAAATAGGATTTTGCAATTTGAGTAACCCATGAGATTTGCCCTTATTCAGAACATCTCGTTTGCTTATACAGATATTTCTTTCTCAACATTGTAAAATAAGAGAGTTTGAGGCTGGCAGTATTGGACTTAATTTTTTTTTTTAATTAAATTATTTTTTATGTTCTGTTAATGTTTTCTGAGTGCTTTGGAACCTTGAGGGTTGCACAAAGAGGGTTGGCAGACTTCATCACGTACTGAGGTGAATCATATACGAAAGGTGCAATCTCAGCTGGCCAAAGCCATTGTCTCTGCCTCCAAGCAGAGTGTAAGCAATGCAGAATGTCTGGATGTGAAAACAAGTGCAGATTTCTTGTCAAAAGCACATATTACCATTATGGAAACAATGAGGAGAATAACTCTGTTTTAGGGGAAAATTAAGACTGAAACTTTGAAACCTAATTTCACTTTGACTTTGCTGGCCTGTGTTAGTCCTCAGCTCAGCATCTTTGGGCCAGCAGTGTTACTGCTTCATCTTGCCAGCAGCAGACAACTTGCCAGGAAAATCTGAGTCCTGTGGTGTCCGCACACACGCGCGTGTGTGCATGGAGGCGTGCACACGCATCTGATCCAGGAACTGCGCTTAAGGTCAGGGGTATCATGTTTATCCCTGTTAATAGCTGTCATGTTTCTGCAACCTTTATTAATCTGTCCTTCCTAAAAGAGGCAGGAAGGGGAAATCAGTTATAGTCCTTGTCTACCCTGATTTATAGGACAGAGACTGATGCGTTAAGCAGCTTTTGGCTGGATTAGGAGCGGAGAGCATGCTGGCTGACTTACTCTGCCCTCATCAAAAACTCGTGCTTTGGCAATTGGAAAGTAATGGTGGGTTCTGGGGACTTGAAGATACAACTTTGCTTTCAACAGAGGCATAAATATAGAGTGTTCCACTACAGTGTGATATTTGCAAATGTCAACAACTGCTGGGCCTTGGAAACAGATATTCTGTGTACAAGGAAGAAATAAACTAAGGCAGGAGAGGCCAGACTCTGGCTGGATCTACCACTTAGACTAATGGTTCAGAAAGGCTAGAAGGAAAGAAGTTGTTTTTCCAATGGCTTTGCA